TCCAACGTCGAAATGTACCGGGCTTGACGTAGTTTTTCCAAGATGTTGTTGATCCTGGGGACGGGGTACGCGTCGGGCACTGAGTGAGCGTTCAATTGTCTATAATCAAAGCACATGCGCCATTCACCCGTCTTCTTTTTGACCAACACTATGGGTGCGCTATGCGGGCTCCGTGAAGGTTCGATGGCGCCTTCTCGGAGTAGTTCATCCACTTGGGCGTCGATCACGCTCTGCATTGCCGGGTTCCTTGGGTAGTACCTTTGTTTCAAGGGTTTGTCGTCTCGCATTATAATCCGATGCTCCGCCACGTGTGATACTCCTCGAAGCTGCTTGAAAAGTGTCAACTCACGGGTGATGAATTCCCGCTGGTCGGGACTTAGGTCATCCTCTTCCGTCATTGATTCTCCATCCTCTGCTTCGTCGATTTCGTCAGGCCGAAAGTCCTCCAAGGCTCTTCCCGGTTCGTCGTACCTCCTGATCTCGTCTCCTCCGTGGTCGTTCTTTCGTTCTCCTGATGGGGTCATCTGGCGCATGTATACATAGTGTCTTTATCGTCGGATTCCTGCTTTCCTAGAACCGTCGCACTCCTTCCTTCGAGTACTTCCGGGCTCGTATCCTCTGACGACATCCGATCGACTTTACTTGGCCGCAGCCGGGGGTCTTCCGCCGACGGGCTTTATTTTACCTTTAAGGTGGCTTATCCGCATTGTATCTGTGTTCCCATCGCCGCCAAGAAATCCATGCCTAATATCACGCGATCCAACATGGTTGGCATCACCAAGAATGGCATCCACACTAGCGTGCCAGCTAATTCCACGCGAGTGCGCCATAGCTGCTTCACTGCCAGGCTTGACCGATCAGCTAACGCTATCGTAGTGATTATCTCTTGCAACGTAGCCTTCGCTCGCAAAGCTCCTCGACGTTCCCGTATCCACCGTGGCGTCCACCCATCGGCCTCCGATCTGCGCGGTAGCAGTGATCAGGCCGTTGCTTATCCTTAGTGGTGGGTTCCTTGATGTCGGGCTGCTACTTCGTTCGTCTCCGCTGCGCCCGCATCTCGGCGAAGACGTCGTTCATTTCCCGGGGTATCTCGGCGACAACAATCGACAGTCAATATATTCCTACGAACACAGTCCCAACAAAAGTTCAGGCGTGCATTAGTAGAAGCCGGTCTAAAGTGGCCGACTTCTCCGCACCTGCTACAAGCTCGCTGGACGTCGATGTTCGATAGGGGCTGTCTGATCATTTGATGAGTTGCATTCCCTAAATGAACCTAAAAAAACTTTAAACATTAAGGACGAACACAAAGACACAGAACAACTACAATGCAAAACAGCTGCTTTGACCTTGAAGAAAAAAAGAGACGGTATTAGTATATGGTTGATTATGCACACATCTGCAAATATATGTATTTAGCCTTAACTCTTTTTATATTTTAAGATATTGACAAATACACTGAATAAAAAATGAATCGGGGCATCTAGGGGGATCACAGTTAAAACTTTTAGTAAATTGGGCAACGTAATTAGTTGACTGAACACTTTGAAGTTCGCTTTTATTGTGAAATATTCGCGATGCGTGCAGATGCGCTTTGCAAATGAACACGTGTTCACAACTTCAATTCTATTTTTAGAAAGTCCCGTTAGATATTGTGACGACCCTGCCTGACGGCTAGACCGCCACAATGTGTATATAAGCAGTAGTTATCTAAGTTTGGCGTTATTATCATTAGTACGTAAGAGATATAAAATGAAGGTTTATGATTTAGTGAGTGGAAAGCGAACATATGGATGTTCGGGTGCAAAACCAAAATAGGTCAAGTTTCGTTCCGCACCACCCGCCCGAGGTGGCAACCATAGGGAAAAATATTAGAAAATAGAGAAAATACCAAACCGATCTGACGAGGTAAAGGGAAAAAGGATGAGAGGGCCACACGGCGGTTTCCACTCTCTCTCTCTGCTCTGGTATCTGGAGGCGAACGGTCGCGCACGCGGGCGAAATAATAAAAAAGGGAAACACGCGGAAAAGGGAAAGCTCGGTCGGTAGGAAGTAAGCCGGCCAACCAAGACAGAATCTGGCTGCGGCCTCGCGCGAAGGTCCAGCCCGTGGAATTTTTGGCCTCGCAAGCCTCATCCCTGGGCCACGTACAATAGAACCCGGCTGCGTCCTCGCCCGAAGGTCCAGCCCGCGGAATTTTTAGCCTCGCGGGCCTTATACCTCGGCCACGTACGATAGAACCCGGCTGCGGCCTCGCCCGAAGGACCAGCCCGTGGAATTTTCCGTCACGAGAGGACTTGGTGTTCTGATGTTACCGTAACCTCATAGGTCTTGGAACACCCCCCTCCCCACTCGATTGGATAGACGCGGAATCTCCGGGATAATTGTTCAAATATCATCGTTCGCTCCGCGAATATTATTCTTTAGCCCTATGTCTCAGTGACTTTACAAATTTCTTGTAAAAGGACCTTTGGCTTCGACTGAGAGTTATATCCTGGCCAGAGAGCATCCTTACAAGTGGCGCCCGAGCAGGGACATTGAGGCTAACTAGAGCAACACCAAAGTGGCCTTAATACCCACTGAGATAAAGATCTTTATCCCGAAGGATCGTGCCACTGCCGAGCGTTATTAACCGTTAGAGTGAAGGACTCCAAGGAGCAAACGGAGAAGGAAAAGGAGATTCGCGCACCGCAATAAACTATGGCTAACCCGAAGGAGTCCGACGGCGAATACGAAGAAGCCGATTCGATTGTAAACCCAGGCGTAGGAGTACGATGGATTTACGCCCGCCTCAAAGATGAATTAGCCGCTCTAGCAATGGAGTTCGGGTTTAGCGCCGACGGCACCGTAGCAGAAACACAGAAGGCATTCGTTACAATCGTGAGCACAGGATCGTTTTCAAAGTCGGTGTGGAAACGACTCACTCAACTACAGGAGCAGTATAGCTCGAGAGCTGCAACTCCGAACCGGCTAGGAGACGACAAAGGGCTTATGTCGGGAGTCAAGATGCCCAAGTTAGCCAGAGTCAGGTCCCGCATTTCGCCGGCTACACCTCTCCTGGAAGGCTGACAAGCCATAGAGGAGTCCACCCCGACACGTCACGAGATTTCATCGTCCCGTCCCTCGGAAACCACGGCGGGTTGAAACCGCCCGAGTCAGAAGCTCCATTCACCATCTGCCCCGACATTTGCTAGCCGAGCAAATGCACAAATGGAATCTACGATTCGACGGAACGTCAGACCCGCTGACCTTGATCGCCGAGCTGGAGGAAAAAATAGCAACATATATAATTAATCAGGACCACGAGTTCGAGACGCTGGAACAATTAACCCGCATGGCGACGGAATACGAAAGTGTGAGGCAGCTGACGTCGAGTCGCGCAGGCATTCCTACCGGGATAGGACCGGGATAGGACCAGCTCTCATCGGACGCCGAACCCCTTTCGAAGCCCGGAGATACCCATTTAAGGAGGGAATGCAACTCATCAAATGATCAGACAGCCCCTATCGAACATCGACGTCCAGCGAGCTTGTAGCAGGTGCGGAGAAGTCGGCCACTTTTGACGGGCTTTTACTAATGCACGCCTGAACTTTTGTTGGGACTGTTCGTAGGAATATATTGACTGTCGATTGTTGTCGCCGAGATACCCCGGGAAACGAACGACGTCTTCGCCGAGATGCGGGCGCAGCGGAGACGAACGAAGTAGCAGCCCGACATCAAGGAACCCACCACTAAGGATAAGCAACGGCCTGATCACTGCTACCGCGCAGATCGGAGGCCGATGGGTGGACGCCACGGTGGATACGGGAACGTCGAGGAGCTTTGCGAGCGAAGGCTACGTTGCAAGAGATAATCACTACGATAGCGTTAGCTGATCGGTCAAGCCTGGCAGTGAAGCAGCTATGGCGCACTCGCGTGGAATTAGCTGGCACGCGAGTGTGGATGCCATTCTTGGTGATGCCAACCATGTTGGATCGCGTGATATTAGGCATGGATTTCTTGGCGGCGATGGGAACACAGATACAATGCGGATAAGCCACCTTAAAGGTAAAATGAAGCCCGTCGGCGGAAGACCCCCGGCTGCGGCCAAGTAAAGTCGATCGGATGTCGTCAGAGGATACGAGCCCGGAAGTACTCGAAGGAAGGAGTGCGACGGTTCTAGGAAAGCAGGAATCCGACGATAAAGACACTATGTATACAGAGCAGAGTGAGGTCCCCGTGCACAACCGGATCATGCGCCAGATGACCCCATCAGGAGAACGAAGGAACGACCACGGAGGAGACGAGATCAGGAGGTACGACGAACCGGGAAGAGCCTTGGAGGACTTTCGGCCTGACGAAATCGACGAAGCAGAGGAGAATCAATGACGGAAGAGGATGACCTGAGCGTTATACCTTTATTAATTTAATTTTGGTAGGTGACTCCTCTCATTGCGTCATCACTCGCTTGTACATATTCGATTATTGGTGTACACCAATGCAGAAAAATTACGGAAGGCCATCGAACATGTGAACCGGAATATTGAAAACATTGGCTACGTGTCCGAGATGAGCGTGTTAACGAAATGTATTGGATACATTTGCAAAAAAATTGCTTCGTTTTGGACACAATGTAAACGCAAAAAGGCATTAGTTCTTGAATTCCAATCTAATTGGCTTAACGAAAAGGAAACAATTTTAATGAAACGCACTCCAAGAAATGATTGAAACTGCTAAGCGTGGACGTCCGAAAGTAGACTTTAGTCAGTCATCAAAAAGAACTAAGAGACGAAGAGTTGCTGATCTTTCAATAACTAATGAATTTGCAGCTTGTGACTTTCGATCGTGCAACTTTCAATCAAATGCAATGTGTAGCAAAACTAACATCGATGAAGTCCTGTCGCTTCTCATGGCGGCAAACTTGAGCAAGCATCAATATTTTCTAATACGAAGCTATGCGAGTTACAGAGCTTGGTTGACCACACTGCGAGGAGGATTGTAAAACTTCAGCGTGATGTTCTTGAAAGCGTTGGAAGTGATTCCTCTGATAACCTTATTTTAATTGGAAAATGAGGATTTGACGGCAGCACTGGACATTCAGAATACAAACAGAAAGTCTGCAACAAGGATTTGAGCGATTCCAGTCTTTTTGTGACATCATATGTGCCATTACAACTTAAAACCATGGAAAGTGATCCAAAAGATAAAAAAAAATTTTGGAAGAATCCGCGACCTTCGTTTACACGATACTGCAGACCATTAAGATTACAATTTGCAAAAGAAACGGCTCAATTAGCTGAAGACGAAGAAAAGTATTTCAAAGCTAAGATTGAAGTGTTGAATGCCACGCCATGTAATGTGTCCGGTAAAGAAATTAAAATTAAACACAGCTTGCAGTTGACCATGGTTGATGGGAAAATTTGTAGTGCCCTAAGTCACACGTCATCTTCTAAGTGCTACATATGTGAGGCAAAGCCGACAGAGATGGACGATTTGGAAAATTGTTTGAAAAAGAAGGTTAGTGAATCACGCTTTGAGTTTGGATTGTCTCCATTACACTCCTATATTCGTTTTTTTGAATACTTTTTGCATGTATCGTACAGACTCGCCCTGAAGAGCTGGAGAGTTAGTACTCCAGAAGGAAAACAAGTACTTTCGACAAGGCAATCCCAAATGCAGAATGATTTTCGCATACGAATGGGAATTATTGTGGATACACCTAGGAGTGGAGGAAGTGGCACGTCAAATGATGGCAATACGGCCAGAGCGTTTTTGAAAAATCCGAAATTAGCAGCAGAAATAACGGGTATTAATGAAGATATTATAATCCGGTGTTCAATATTGCTGCAGTGTTTGGCATCAGGCTACACAATCAAAAATTCAAAAAATTTGGAGAATATGCACTTGATACTGCCAGAAAGCTGATTAGCTTGTATCCATGCTACTATCTTCCACCATCCGTACACAAAATTTTAGTGCTCCAGATGTCATAAATTATGCAGTTGTGCCGATTGGAGAATTATCAGAAGAAGCTGCAGAGTCAAAAATTAAGGACATCAAAATGTTTAGAAGACTGCACACCAGGAAGACTTCTCGGATTGACACAAACACAGATTTGATGCACAGATTACTTCTGAGCTCAGATCCTTATGTTACTGGCCAAAGAAAGCTCCCACATTAAAAAAGTCCGTTTTATCAGCATCAGCATTTGAACTGCTCGATGACTTAAATTAAATATATCCTCTTATCATTTATTTTTTAAAATTTTGTTTTCTTTATCAGCATCAGTATTTGAACTGCTCGATGACTTAAATTAAATATATCCTCTTATCATTTATTTTTTAAAATTTGGTTTTCTTTTGCTATAATTTGTATTTTTGTTTATTATTATTGTTATGTTCTTTTCATGTAATTTTCACTTAATAATCCAAACTAACGGATTAATATTGGTGGGCCGATAATAAACCACTCCTCTTCCTCTTAAAATTTCCAATAAAATTTTTTTTTTGCTATAATTAAAATATTTGACAATTTTGAAACGATACAACAACTAGAAGAATTTTTGTCCGCGGCTCCCATACAGGTCCAACCACTGTGCGCCGCCGTTGAGCGTTAGGCTTGAGTAAGAGATTACCTTTTCTCCTCGTTCAATTTCCTGGGTCAAGATCGCCCCGATGCCGTAGTCGCTCGCGTCAGCTTGCAAGATAAATGGTTTGTCAAAATGGGGGCATGCCAGTACGGGGTCTGCGCCGAGTGTTGCCTTCACCTTTTCGAACGCCGTATAATGTTCCTCTGTCCACACAGATTGCCCATGCGTAGCAGATCGGTGAGAGGTTTGACTATTTTTGCGAAGTCAGGTACAAACCGGCGGTACCAAGATGCTACGCCCAGGTACTGTCTGAGCTCATTTACTGTTGATGGTGGTTCTAGTTCTGCGATTGCTGCTACCTTTTCCGGATCCGTACCTATTCCTTCGCTAGTCACTACAGCAGCTCTTTCCTGAAAAATTGAAACTTTTCGGAGTTTAGCCTCAGATTTGCCTCATTTAGCCGTCGGAACACTTCCTTCAGGTTAGCCTTTCGTTCTTCCAGCGAGCGCCCGATCACTATGATGTCATTCTGGTAAGCAAATGCGTGCGGCGAAATTGCGTGACAGAGCATACGGCCCAGCACCCGTTGAAAAGTTCGCAGAAGCCGAATGAAGTCCGAATGGCATTACTCTCCACTGAAATAAGCCTTTCCCCGGCACTGTAAACGCCGTGTTCTGCCTGCTGTCTTCTTTAGTGGTATTTGCCAGTACCAATCCTTTAGGTCCAAGCTGCTGACGTACCGAGCTTCCCTCAGTTGGTCGAGAATATAATTTGTTACCTTATATATTAATGTTACCTGCGTTGGTGATGCCGACTTGGTCTTGGAGAATTTGTTTTTTTGCGCGAACGCTTCCCGTTCGTTTTCGAGTTCTTCATACTCATCTGCTAATATCATCAGCTTGTCCAGGTCCGACACTTTGTACGCTCTGAGGAAGATCCTTAGACTTGGGGTGCAGTTTTCCTTAAGTGGCCTCACCATCGTCTGCATGTCGATCATGTAGTCTTTGAACGACTCGCTGAAGCCCTGCTTCCATTGCCTGACCTGATCCGTCAGCCTGGTGAAGAAGTCTCTCGGCAGAAAGTACACCCAAAAAAAAAATCGCCCTTAAATCAAGAAATTCGCCTTTAAATCAAGAAAATCGCCTATGATTTTCATCCAACGGCGACTCACCTTTATTTTAAATAAATAATTTTCTTGAATTTATGGTTTGCCATTTCTGGAAATAATGACAAATTTTTCTTAAATGTATGGTAAAAAACCTTAAAATTAAGGAAAAATTTATTAAAATAAGAAAAAAAAATATTTATGATGTAAGATTACATCATTTTACATTTTACACCTTACATTTGAGGAATTTGGTTGGTTTTGTATACCAATGTTGAATTTTAAATGGATAAAACCGTTTCTAATTTTAATGGCAATTATTACATGGGAATACTACAGTCTGAAAATTTTTATATTTACCTGAATTTATTAAAGATTTATTTTATATAAATACTTTTTATAAACATATAAATAAATATAACAAATGGAAAAATCCTTACCTCAGACAACCCCGGCGTGAACTCGAACCCGCAACTGCTCACACCATAGCAAGACGTCTTAACCATTCGGCCACGCGTGCTTCTTGTCATACAATGACTAAAGAGGGCTAAGGTGCTTTTGGTCCAGCTTTACGCATACAAATAACGTTTATTCTAATCTAAACCTTTTTAACAACCGTTTAAACAATTTGGTAAATAGAAAAGTGAAACTAATAAGAATAAAAATTACATAAATTAAAAAAAAAAGATAAATAAATAAACAAAGGGTACACTTGCCGTGGCGTGGGCTCGAACCAGGTACTTTTGTTCGATTGTTTATTGACCGGACGTCTTTACCAGCTAGACCACCATCAAAATGTATAAAAAAAAGTCACTTTCTCTTAAAATATGGATATTTCTTTCCTAAATTTAAGTAAGAATTTACCATTATTTCAAGAAAAAAAATCAAGAAAAATTCGCCATTAATTGAAGAAAAAAATGGGATTCTTCCTCTTCTTCATTACAAAAAAAAAAAAATTATGGCGAATTCCTTAAATTGTAGGCATTTTTTCTATAATCAAGAAAATATTTCTTAATTCAATGGCGTTTTGAAATCACGGGCGATTTTCTAATATTTATGGTGATTTTTTTTTTGAGTGTATGTGTTGAAGCTATCTTTGAACTCCGTCCGGGTTTTCCATTGTTTGTTGTTGGCGATGAACCATTTCAACCCTTCCCTTAAGCAATTCCGGCATCACTCGGGGAATCATGTCTAAATCCAAGCCGTATGTGTTGGCAGACCATTCCACCTACTCCAGGATCTCGAACGGTTTTACCGCTCCGACAGACCTGAACGACCATTCGCGGACTTGTTTAGCGATCCTTGCATAGTCTGACTACTGGGTCTCGAGATCAGCGCTGTTATTTTCCTGTCTTGGCTTGATTTTCTCCTGTTTGCCTCTTTTTGTAAGTTGTCAACGCTCAGGCTTAATACTATGTTGTCCCCTTCGGCGTTCGGTAACGTGATGCTTGGGCCGGCTTTGTCGTGGTATGTAGCTTCCAACTCGGCCCAGATGTCGACGAGTTGTGGGTCATTATCCGTTTCTGAGTAATACTCGGATAATGCCTTTCTCATGTCTTCTAATCTGCCGTCCAGAGCGACATTAAGCCTTTGTGAAACATTGGCCAAGTCCTCTTTTTTAAGCCGGTAGATCCACTTCTTTCTCATTCTGTTTAAATTGCTTTCACTGCTGGGACAATCACGTTGGGCGCCAGATGTAACGAACTGATTTTTGTGGTCTGTTCGCTACGAGATTCGTGCGGCTAGCTCAGTAGATTGTGTGTTCGTCCCACCAAATTTATATAAACGTGACCGCCCAGTAGCTCAGTGAGAAAACACAGAATTAACGGGTTCGTTGTGGGTTTATTGGGCTTAGTCCCCAAATGATCTCGGTACCGCAGTCCTGTAGCTCCCTGAAGATCCTTGACGATGTCTTGCGCACTGCTCCTGGCTGTGCTGGCTGCGCGGCTGGACGTAGCGTGGCTTCTGGTACTCAGGGTTTCGGCCGTACGTTGATCCGGGACTTCCGCCTTGACCTAGCCGTGTGATGCCCTCTGGGCCTCAGCTACCTACGTCTCAATTCGGAGATTCCTGGTATCCCAATCCCGAATGTCTCGTCGTAGTGATCTTTCTCCCTGTAGGCTCCCACGGCGCTGCTTTTCCATTCACTTGTATCTTTTATCTGTTCACTTTGGTATCTTGACTGATCCTGACGGTTTGACTCTTCGTGATCGACTGATCATGCTTCCAGCCACTTATATAGGGCTCCTGGTACCGTTAATTCTTGGCATCTGTGGAGGCACCACTTCAGGGTCTAAAGTCCGCGGTTTTACCGTTCGACCATTTGCCCTCTGCACATGGCCCCACTCTAGGGTGCTAAGCGCGGCGATCTACCGTTAACCCTTCGCTCCTTCTCTCCAAGAACTCTTTCCTCGTACTCTCCAAACTCTCTTGAGCCGAATTCTCCAAGCTCTCTTGAACTGAATTTTCCAAACTCTCTTGAACTGAATTCTCCAAACTCTCTTGAACTGAGTTCTCCAAACTCTCTCTTCCCGCAGTGCCGTTACTACGCGTATTCAACGGCAAGCGGCCGGCCATCTGTCGCTGCTGCTGCTGAGATTTGTGGGGAGTTATTAAACTCCTCACAAGAGAGAATCCTTTAGTCGATGGCATAGACTATTACCGTTACTCATCTAAAAGGAGTGCGAGGGAGAAAGAGATATTCAAGCAGCAAAGCTACTGAAATCAAGATGGCGCCAATTCGGACCAGTTTGAGCAAAAATGTTGGCAAATTAGTAGTCGAAAGAAAATCCCATTTACTTTTTTCAAAAAACTTTTTAAATGTATGCGCCAGACACGTATTATTTGCGTAATGGGCGCTTGTTGCCCTTAGAATGGGCTTAGCAATAAGCTCAATAATCCACATGCCAAATCCAAACTTTCTAGGTCCTATAGTATTGTAGTAAAAAGATGTCCTCTATATTAATTCGAATTATATTTTTATTGTACTTGGAGCAGAAAAGGTGCCGCTACCAACGTTCAGTTTTTTCTGTTCATACATTTTTCTTTAGGTTCTTAGTAAGCCTAAGTCTCGTAGCTGCGCTGCTTACAGTTGGACAAAAGAGAGACGGCTATGTATATCTTATATATTATATGTATATAATTATGCTCTTTTAAGCGAGGGTATATGCATGTACTTGAGTTCGGTTAAGCGGTCTGCGCGAGCAACAGAATGCTGACACTTGCACTTTCTGTGAGCGCACCGATCGACTCATGCTCCGGCCACTTGAGTTTTTGACCGGGACTTTGTTTATGTAAATACTGCAACAAAGTGTTACAGTGTGATCACTTTAAGTACTCTTGGTACAGTAGATATTCAATATATGAAAGCATGGCACATTTTTCGATCATTGTGGGTCGTCCATCTGTAATCGATGGCTGGCTATTCCAACAAAGGTAATTTTTGAAAGAGAATTCAGGATCGTCGCTTTGGGAGCT